TCTGCAAAGGCCTTATATTGTCTATGTCCAATCTTGGTTTTTTGAACCCTGGTGGGGTGTGTCTTCTGGAGTTGTAGGGCTTTCCTGATCTGACTGCTGTTTGAAGAAAAAGCAAAGAATTGTAAACAAGATTGCCCTTGTTGTTGTTTTCCCAAGTTTTCACAAAAAGTAGGACACAGGGTGGCCAAAATTGGGAGTCAAGAAGAGGAAGAGGAAGAGGAAGAGGAGGAAGAAAAGCAGTAGTACTGAATCCAGCATGTTACCTTATCTTGTCTGGCAGTAGCTAGCTCTAGATACTTGAGGAAATTTCTAGGAGCAAAGTATAGTAATGGATTACTCTAACTGCACTATGTATCCACCATAGTGATAGATTTCAAAGATATAGCCATGTTACAGGGGAAGCAGACAGCTTAAAAAGCCATTTTGGGGGCAGGGAAGGGGAGGGGCAGCCGCACGCTCGGCACCCCAACCCCTTCCCCAGGTCGTCCTCGGAGCAGCCGGCCCTCCGCATGGCTGGCGCCCTGAGGAGGACCTCTCGCTGCAGTGTCCATACACGCTGCAGTGGAAGAGTCACCGAAGGTGTGCCACCAGCTTTTGTGGTACATCTTCGGCGACTTGTGAAAGGAGCACCAATTTAGTGCTCCTTCCAGGGGCGGCGAAGGTGAGCCACGAGGCTGAGGAATGCGGATGCCTCGGCCCCACGGCACAGCTTCCCGGGGCAGCCCACGGCTGCCTGTCTGCTTCCCCCCGTAGTCTGGAAAGTCAGTATGCAGTATTTACCTGAGGAAGTAGGCTCAAGTCTAGAAAAGCTCATGCTACCAACCTCTCTGTTTCAATTAGTCTCAAAAGTGTTATAAGATCCCTTTGTGTATTATGTATCCACCAGTTCATAATCTTTGAAGATTTAAGAGTGTGCTGTGATATTTTTTATTTTCTCTTTTAATGTTAACAAGGAAAAAGAGTCAATTATGTTCCTTCTAAAGGGCATATCCAGTTACCTTTTGGTAATACTCATTTAAATGTGCAAATATTGTGAAGAAATTTTATTTGCTTCCTGAAATCCCTGCTGAATTTAATCAATACGTGTTGAATGTTTTGCACACAAATTGACTCATAAAGAAAATAATTTTCCAAAGTTGCAAGAGTTAGAGATATTCCATCTTTATCTCTGTACTATTCTTTGGGTTTTGCACATAATAATGTACCTGTGTTTGAATGCTGCACTTTAGCAGTTGTATAGAACTTGAACAGCCAGAAAAAACTCTACATATGGGGGGAGGGGAACATATATTTCTGGCTCTTGGACAACAATATCAGGAACAAAATGGATCATGAGAACATAGAAGCTAAACATCTTTAGGCAGTGTAGTCATATCTGTAGGCATGGTCATGATGGGGAAGAGAAAACATATGACCCTTCAAGATGTTGATTGACCTAATGGAGAGTGCACAGGGTAGAACTTAATAATTTACTTCCCTGAAACAAATGCATATGAATAGCACAGCATGGGATAGTTTTTGAAAAGTCATCTACTACAAAAAGTAGTACAGAATACAGCCAAGAAGTTGTTGACTGAAGTGTGCTGCAGAGAGCATATTATGACTATTAATTGTGAAACCACTCAATTGTCCTCCATTTAGTTCAGTGCCCCAGCATTAGTGCTCTTTTGTAGCCATAAATGCCTAGGCCTAATGCATAAACATAGGGATTTCTTCTTATTGCAAGCCCTGCAGGTTCTTTATCATATAGAATAGCCTCTGAGAAGAACACAAAAAACACATGTAAGCTGGAGGCAGAGGTTGCCACTATGATGTCCTCCCTCCTAGAATGGCTTAATCGGACTTTTGTTTCTTTTTAGGCCCCATTTTAGAGGAGAGGGAAACCTGAATGATTATTATTTTCTTCATAATAATTGTAATCATTATAATTACAAAAAATCTGTTAAGTTTTTAAAAGTTCTTCAAGTGGATGGAATGCATAATTATAGAGGAATAGTAATTATCTTTAATTAATTTTCTTTTCTTTTAAAATGCTAGATAATTTCTCATTG